ACTGCTACGTGGCGCGTCCCCAGGTGACGGATAGGGGAAATCTCACACCGGTCTCTTATCTGAGACGACCAGGAGGGAAAGGGCGAAATTAAATAGTTCTCGCGGATCAAGCGCCCCAAGCTAAGGTGTGAGACATCGTGCCGAGGGCTGCATGGTACCAGGGATGTGGTGCTGCCAACGATTCCGCTGGGGCACCTCGTCCAACACCAGTGTTACCCTTCATTGGGCAAAGTGGCGTTACTCTGGGAGAGCTACGTACCAGTTGTGGACCTTTTTAGATCGGGCAGTACTCGTGGGAACAAAGATGGAAGACTACAAAAACAAAAACACACAGAAGAATGGGCACGCCCAACAAGCAGCACTTGATGCGAGTGCGGAAATGAAGAGGACGGAAGCATGGGATCGGCTGGAACGGCTCATCACGGAGGCGATTGAATTCGCCAACCCGAAGCCGAATATACACAAGGAGCTCAAGTTGAAGCTGATGGCAACCAGTGGTGCCTTCAGACGACTGAAAGAGATCGAGATGGCTAGGCCGAGGNTGGCACACCCAACAAGCAGCGCTTGATGCGAGTGCGGAGATGAAGAGGACGGAAGCATGGGATCGGCTGGAACGGGTCATTACGGAGGCGATTGAATTGGCCAACCCGAAGCCGAATATACACAAGGAGCTCAAGTTGAAGCTGATGGCAACCAGTGGTGCCTTGAGATGACTGAAAGAGATCGAGATGGCTAGGCCGAGGCAAACTCACCCCCAGCATCTCCTCATACCGCCGATTCCGAACATACCAACGACACCGTTGCTCAATCGGACCAGTTCTGAGACGACGCTGAAGGACACCGATGGGGAAGAACAGACGGGAACGCCGTCATCTGCCAAGCGACGGAAGCGCTCCTCACCTGAGGTAGATCCCAAGGTGGTGAAGAAACGGAAGGAGCAGGGACCACCAGCACCGCCCCAAGCCCAGCCTCCTAAGGAGGCGGACTGNACCGCCGATTCCGAACATACCAACGACACCGTTGCTCAATCGCACCAGTTCTGAGACGAAACTGAAGGACACCGATGGGGAAGAACAGACGGGAACGCCGTCATCTGCCAAGCGACGGAAGCGCTCCTCACCTGAGGTAGATCCCAAGGTGGTGAAGAAACGGAAGGAGCAGGGACCACCAGCACCGCCCCAAGCCCAGCCTCCTAAGGAGGCGGACTGGCAGGAGGCCCGGAAAAAGAGGAAGGGGAAGAAGAAGCAGCCGAAAGAGCCGCCGCCCCCGAAGCAGAGGACACGAGCGGCAAGGCCGGATGCACTCATCATCCGCCCGAAGGACAAGGCGGCATACGCCGNACTCCTCACCTGAGGTAGATCTCAAGGTGGTGAAGAAACGTACGGAGCAGGGACCACCAGCACCGCCACAAGCCCAGCCTCCTAAGGAGGTGCACTGGCAGGAGCCCCGGAAAAAGAGGAAGGGGAAGAAGAAGCAGCCGAAAGAGCCGCCGCCCCCGAAGCAGAGGACACGAGCGGCAAGGCCGGATGCACTCATCATCCGCCCGAAGGACAAGGCGGCATACGCCGACATCCTTAAACGGATGAAACAGGACGCATCGGCTGGAGCGTCCCAACAGTGTGTGGACAAGATCCGGAAGACGGCCACAGGGGACATGTTGATTGTCCTCACGAAGACCAACGCCGACAAGGTCCCAGTCCTGCAGGAGGCCATAACCAAACTCCTCGGCGAGGAGGCGGAGGTTATTAACAAAACACCGGAGGAAGAACTGGAGATAAAGGATCTCGACGAGACCANGGGATGAAACAAGACGCATCGGCTGGAGCGTCCCAACAGTGTGTGGACAAGATCCGGAAGACGGCCACAGGGGACATGTTGATTGTCCTCACGAAGACCAACGCCGACAAGGTCCCAGTCCTGCAGGAGGCCATAACCAAACTCCTCGGCGAGGAGGCGGAGGTTATTAACAAAACACCGGAGGAAGAACTGGAGATAAAGGATCTCGACGAGACCACAACGAAAGAAGAGGTACTCGCAGCACTGGTGGTGGCCGCTGGAGAGAACTCCAGAGTCCCAACGAACGCAGTCAAATCGTTGCGGAAGGCTCACGGAGGCACTCAGACGGCCTGGGTGAAATTGCCTGTGGCAACGGCGAAGAAGATTGCCGGAGAGCATGGCAAAATCAAGATTGGCTGGGTTAACTGCCGGATTAGAGGAGTGGAGAGACCCCTGAAGTGCTATAAGTGCTGGGACTTCGGACATCTCGCCAATCACTGCAAGGGCGAGGTGGACCGCTCTAAACTCTGCATCAAATGTGAGGAGGGTGGCTACCTGGTCGCCAAATGTCAGACAGAAGCTAAATGCGCCCTCTGTGTCGCGAAGGGCCGCACGGATAACTGTACCCATATCGCTGGTAGCAGCAGATGCCCAGTGTACAAGGAGGCAGTCCAGGCGGTAACGAAGAAACGAAAATGAGNGGTGGGAAGCTACTTCACCGATAGGGTCCTGAAGTACGACACGGACGATGGCCCCAAGGAGTACAAAGTGACTGGCGGTGTTCCTCACGGCTCAGTACTTGGCCCACTCCTGTTGAATATCATGTAGGAC